ATGACACATCACAATATATTTATTTTATAAAAGAAGTTTTATTATTTTTGATTTCTTTGTCTTCTGATTATTAAAAAAAGGAACATAATATATGGCATTGCGGAGAAAAAAAGAATACATAAAATTTGATATTGGTGTCACCACTGAGATCATGTAGCAAAAGAGAAGCAATGTGGGCATGCATATTGGTTGAATATTAATACCCAAAGAAGCTAATGAGTCAATTATATGTCGCTTTGCCGATAGGTTAAGTTCACGCATGCGCAATACCACAAGGGGCACACACCATTGATTACTCTCAACTTTGAACCCTATGATTTTTGGACCAGCTTGGCTTATGTTATTTTTTTAATAGGTAATGTTGTTTTCTCTTACATTTTAAATACTCATAAATAATATGAAAATAATAATAAATTTATGAATATTCCATCTATGGTATACTTTAGCATTCTCTTTCCCAATTAATGGTCCACTATATGACATTTATTTTATTTAAGAAAAGAGACTTATGTACCTATTACTAAATTAAATGTTCGAATACAATACTAGTATTATTAAATTTTATATAGTTTGCCTAATGTTACTTAGCTATTTTCCCCAACATTATTTAGCTCAAGGGTTTTACATATTAATATTTGACAAATATATCAACTCTCAAAATACAACGAGTTCATCGACATACAAAATTGTTAAGAATTTACATATATTGATGTGAAAATTATGAATTATAGTTAAAAGTCAATGTTCTTGAACAAAACTTTGGGATGTATCTGTTCATACATTTATTTATGTCTATAAAATAATGTCGTAAAGATAGTATTTGGCATATATGAGATAGTTGTTTACAATTAGACATTTTAACAAACTTATTGCCCTAATAAAATTTGAAACATATTTAAGTAATTTGAATCTTGATGCTTTCCTCCAATTTCATGTTAAAAATGTGTCAATGATTTTATAAATATATACAGGCACACACCATTATATTATAAGTTGTATTGATTTAAAAAAAGTAGAATTTTTAATAAATAGTTAGTGAATTCTCCCCTAATTAATTTATATATTGAAAGGATGAAAAGTGAATTTATATCAAATTTAAGAGTATGAATTTTTTTTTTCATGGAAAGAAAGGCTTAAGCATATATGAACATCATCCACAAACCCCCTCTGACTCTGGTAATGAATGTGGCCAGAGATATTCACAATGTAAATCACAATATTAACTTTAGCAATATTATGGGCAGTCACATTTGGCTAGCAAAATACATGGGAGAAAGAGCCAAAACCACACGAAGAAGCCGACGTTGTTCCTGAACTCAACCAACGTTTCTCCTAGCTGTTAACTTCTGCAATGGCCTGTTTTGAAACAGCTGATGTGTCATTCCCTCTTTGGCTCTTTCCACCTTACATTGTTCTCATCTATCAAATCTGCTACTCTTAAAAACCAGAAAATGAGTGATCAGACACTTTAATGCCAGGTCTTAAAGGTGAAGGCTTATCAATCCATTTGTCTCTCCATATAGGAATAGACATGCCATCACCCACTCTCCACCGCAGTTCTTCGTCTACCACATTCCTACCTACTAAATTACTCCTCCAGTAGAAGAAGGGTTATAACCCCCTGTAGCATCAAGGAAAGCACACTTGGCTTTTAAGCATTTCGCAGCATACAGAATTTTGCTCATGCAGTAATCTCCGGCACTGCCTTGCCGATACAACGAGATTAAAATAATCAAAATCCCAAAATCCTATTTCACCTTGGAATTTAGACATGCATAATGACTCCGATCTAGGCTATTGACAATGCCTTCGCCCGGAACCATCACCCACCATAATCTGGCCAACATCATATTAACCTCATGGCGAAGACAACTCACGTGGTAAGTTGGTATTGCTTGTGCAACCGCCTTGATTAGACAGTCCTAATTGCTCTGCTACCCTCGTACCTTTTGCCCATATTCTGTCCTTGATACTGTCAAACACTCATATTTTCTTCTTTCCTATCATCAACGGTAAACCCAGGTATTTATCATTAGTAATGATCATCAAAACTTGTACCAGATTCTGAACAGAAGGGGATTAATGATCCAAGGTGTTGCCGTTTGCAGAGGTAGTCCACAAGTTCACATTTGCCTTTTGCAGATGACAGCGTTAATTCTCTTCCTGTGTGCTGTACACACGTTGAATCCCACCGTACCTATAATAAGTCCATAAGCAAAGGAGTGCAGTGAAGGAGAAGCGTCTAAACCATGTCATTTTGCCCAATGGCACATATTCCTCTTTCTTTTATTTTCAATATATACATTTAATACTTCCATGAAATCTCACATAAGATATAAAAAATAAAAGCAGGGTTCTTCTATATATTTTGATAGAGAAAAAAGAATTTGAATATACCTTTTAAATTAAGGAAATTAATTCATGCACCTCCTAATAAACTAAATGGTTAAAGTAGAAACACAAAAACAATTTTTAATCATTTGGGGAGGTATCATTATTCTTGGTCATTTAATTTATTAATTGACTCTAGAGTAACTGAAATAAACGTGAGGATTATGAAAATGATGCTTCAACCTTTGGGAAGCATAAAACGTCCACGTAATATCTTCTTTAATAACATATTCCTATCCTAGATCGTATCTTCATCATATTTTTAATGGTAACATTCCATCTTTATTCCGCTTATCTTTCTTTTTTTGTGCTAAAAAGAAATTGATCACGAGACTAATTTTCAATCACAAATCATGGGATCAATTGGACCCTATCTAATGATCTCAGAGGAGAATTTATAGGAGATCAACTTTATAAGGTAATGTCACTTTGCCCTCTTGCCCTTGCTTTGTAACAGTGATAGCCACACAAGTAGTGGATTCCACAAGCATGTCCTCTGCTTGTAAATTTCGAGGATAAAAATGAAGAAATGAGATGATTTCGAAGATGGAGCAAACAGGAATATATATATGTGTGTGTGTCAAGTATGGAATGAAGATGGTTACATAACCTTACAAAAGAGATGTTGCCCTAAATGATACATTTGATATTTCATTTCAAAAGTTTTGAGTTCGAATCTTCATCTTCATATTAATAAACTGGGATTTATGGGATGAGAAGGAATATGCAGAGTTTCATAATTGGATAACCTAATGATTGAATACAGAAAGGAAAAACTTCATTCAACAAGTACATAAAACCTTTTAATTTTAAAAGAGAGTTTTATTTGTGTTACTATTCCAAATTTTTTTTACTTTGAATTTAAATGTAGTTTTTATTGTTTACTAGAGAATTTAACTTATATTAGGATCATTTAAAGTGGATTTTTAGGTACCCATTAAAATCATGCCACTTGTTCTATCTATTTTTAAAAACATGTAAGTAGCATCATATATTCATCCTCACCAAATTATTTCTCTACTCACCTTAATTAACCCAAGTTAATTTTATAAAAAAAAAAAAGAAACAGAGGAAACGTATTGTTAAAACAAGACTGAGGGTTTATATATTAAGAACACAGAACCTCTAAAGTTGGCTCAAGCTCTAAGCCAAGCTATTCATCCTCACCAAACTTCCATTATTCATTTTAATCTTGGTTATATAAGTTAATTATTCATTTTAATCTTGGTTAAGGTAAGTCAATCTTTAATTTTTTTGAAAGATGCTAAGGTAAGCAATACGAGGTGGTGCTGTTTCATGGGTGTTTAAAAACCTACTTTTTAAGATAATTTTAAAAAAAAGAAGTGATTCCTTATATTAAAACAATAAATTTAGGATGGGTTCAGACTTTAAATACTGTGAAGCCTAGTTAAAGCGGGCCAAAATTGCAAGGCGTGGGTAGCCCATGGAAAAAACTTTTGACCAAACCCTCGAAGCCGCCTTCAACATTTTTTCACCTTCACTTCATTTTCTGGTTGGAGGCATTGGCCTGTTAGTGTTCTGCATTCATGCATAATAATCCAAGTGTCGGCCTTAAAAAGTAGTAAAAAGTTTGACAACTAAGATACTGTTTTCATTTTAAGCCAAAAGTAGCAAAAATAAATAAAGGGGTTGGGATTTGGGAGCAGACCACTGTGTCAGATTATCAGTTCCACTGGCAAGGCTCTATTCGTCAATGAAGTAAACGTTCAACAAGTTAAATTCAAGATGAGGACAAAATTGGCATTCATTGCTCATTTCCATTTTTTGAAACTTAATTTATTGCTCATTAATAACGCCTTTGTTTTTTCTGTCACATTAATGGCACTGATAAATGAGAATCCAAAATCTGTACATAATTACTCCATTAATTAAAGTATAGCTAAAATACTCCTGATAATGTTGAAGCACAGATATTAACAAACAATTTGATGGAAAAAGTGGAAGAGAATCAAACCAAGGCTTTAGGTGAAATACGGTTTTTTATCTGATTTTATTTATTTATTTATTTTATATATAAAGAGGTTGGCAAGAAAGATGCCCTGAGAGAGATGCTTTCCTGACTGCCCAAGAAATCGGATTTAGGAGTACGTGGAAGACCCACGTTGAACCAAAGCTGTACATATTCAACGTTGCAAGCTGGCAACATTAGGATATCGGCATCATGCAAATCCCTGCCTCCACGAGTAACCTTAACCCCCATACTAAATAAAAATAACCCTCGCGCCCTTGTGAAAATGGCTGGCATCTATATCACAAGGTCCAAATTGGGTTTCAGTTACTTGAACTCACTTCCACAGTGCCACTTGCCTATAATGCAGAATTCGAACCAATCCGGCTGAACGTGTACCACACGCTCTTTGGCCACATGTGAGGTAGTGAATTAGGTTGAGTTAGACATAATTCTTGCCTAGGACCAGAGCAAGAGTGCCGCACGGTGGACCTGAAGAGAAATCCCCAATGCCAAACCGCACCATTGGTTTTCACTAAGAGCAGTCTCTAATTGTTACTAATGCCACTCCGGAGCCAGTTTTTTGGCCCTCTATAAATACTCTGTTCCCACACTCTTTCCTCACTCAAGCAAAGAAAAACCTGCCCCGGTTCTCTGTTCCTCAAACCCTTAAAAACATTTATAGCTTTATTTTTCTTACCACCGAGTCCCTTTGCGTGCCCTCTTTTTCCTGACCAGATACCTCGGATTTCTAGTCTTTTCCCTTTTGGATTTCTGTCCCCATTAATCAGACTCTTTAAGCTGTAAGGATTTTCTTTTTATTCTTTTGGTTATAGAACAATGGGTTCTTAATATTTTGTTAATTTTTGAATTTATATGGCTCTGTGTGTGGGTTTTAGATTAATTTTTGGTCTATAAAGTTTCAATCTCTGATACAATCTCGTTTTGCTCATTTGAGATTAAACCGATTTGGTCCAGAGTCAAACTTTTGAAAGAAAAGATTAATAGAGATTCGTGGTGTAGGAAAGCGTGGATGTTGTAATGGAGACCAAAGGTGGCAAAAAGAAGTCTAGTAGTGGTACTAGTCGTAATTCTTTACAATACGAAGCTCCTCTCGGTTACAGCATTGAAGACATTCGTCCAAACGGCGGCATCGAAAAGTTCCGATCTGCTGCTTACTCCAACGTACGATTCTTTCATTCCCCAAAATAGAGCACTTTCGTTTTTATCATTTTTTCGATCTTCATGATGTTTAATTGGTTTATTATTCTAACATTTTGTTTCTTTGGATGTTTTTGTTCTTGCAGTGCGTTAGAAAACCATCCTGATACAACCCAAACTAAATGGCCCCCCAAGTCTTAGAGTAGGATTGTCTTCAGCCTCTTCGTTTTCTTTTTCTTCCCTTCCCTTTCTCTAATTGAAGAACAGTTGCTAAGAATCAAAGACAAAAAGGCAGCCATTAAATAATCCCGCATCGAAGAAAACAATTTCCATTGATATTGTTAGTATTGAGCTTTCTTGTGATGAAACGTGACATGGATTCGCCGGCGCCTCCTTCACCAATAGGCTTCGAAGGCTTCGAAAAACGCCTGGAAATCACTTTCTTTGATCCACCCATCGTCAAGGACACAAATGGGCTGGGCCTCCGAGCCTTATCTAAAACCCAGCTCGACTCCATCCTCCAACCAGCTTGTTGCACCATAGTTTCCCAGCTCTCCAATCCCAACTTCGACTCTTACGTCCTCTCCGAGTCAAGCCTCTTTGTTTACCCAAACAAAATCATCCTCAAGACATGCGGAACCACAAAGCTCCTTTTGTCAATATCCCCGATTCTTCAGCTCAGTAACTCGCTCTCACTCAGTGTGTCACGAGTCAACTACTCACGCGGCACCTTCATTTTCCCTGATCACCAATCTGCCCCTCACCGTAACTTCTCTGAGGAAGTTACAGCGCTAAGCGAATTTTTTACTGATTTTATTACCGAGGCTTCAATAATTGGCGATCCGAGGTTTCCTACTCGTAGCTGGCACGTTTACTCGGCTGTAGCAAAACGTTCACAGCCGTTGATGGAAGATCCAAGGGAATTGGTTACTCTGGAAATGTGCATGACGGGTTTGGATAGAGAAAAGGCAGGCGTGTTTTACAAAAGGGCGGGGATGGGGGATTGTTCGGCACGTGAAATGACGAAAACGTCCGGAATTGCTGACATCATCCCGAGTCACGTGATATGCGACTTCGACTTTGACCCGTGTGGGTATTCGATGAATGGGATCGAGGGATTTGCCTACTCTACGGTGCACGTGACCCCAGAAGAAGGGTTCAGTTACGCTAGCTACGAGGCCATGGGGCTCGACACCGATTCTGTCAAGCTGGAACCTCTGGTTAAAAGGGTGTTGACATGTTTTTGTCCGAACGAATTTTCTGTTGCGGTCACGTGCCATGGTGGTGGGGCTCGTTTCTGGGCCATGGATGGTGCTGACGTGGAAGGCTACTCGCGTCAGTATATGGTGAAGCAGGAGCTGCCAGGTGGAGGGTGTGTGGTTTACTGGACTTATTTCTCCGAGGGAGAGAGGTGCACATTGCGCGCTCCTGCTAAATTGACCATGCAGTGCTGGAAGGAAGCGGTGGAGGAAGAGGAGGAGGTGGCTGGCGCGGTGGTTTGTCAGTGTATTTCATCAGCCTGAGAGTTGGAAGCTTTGGTTGCCTGTCAGTCACAGGCTGTCATGAGTTATTTTTAGTTTTGAGTTAATAAAAATTATGGGGTCAAAGTTTGGCTCTGGGTAAGTTTGGTAAGTCGAGTGTTTTAAAATGGGTTTGGCATAATCTTTGTTTGGGGGTCCCCAAAGCTGTTGTCAATGTCATTTCCATGCTTTTTGAGCACAGGTAGAGTGGAATTCTATAATTGCCTGTAGTATGGACTGATCTGAGGTGGAATATTATTTCAAATTTGATTTGTCATCCTTTTTACTAGTGGAGAAAAAGAAAGTAGTGTTTTTTCACGTTGAGGATGTGAATGGTTGCAAAATATGGCAGTCATCAAAGGCAATGCAATCATTTTGTGTTCACGATTAACTTCTAAGGTTGAATTTGGAATTAATGCAATCAATGAATCACTGAAAAATGTGTTGTGACAGTGCACAACTTCCGTTCTTCTTTCTTCATGTTCACTCCCAATCTCGAAATGTTTGGGGTTTCTCTCCTCGGGACTGATTAATGCCTGACAGGGAGAATCTATACTTCGAAAGTACTAATTTCTTTTATTGTTTCAATGACTATATATTCTATTCTAACCTTGGTTTGACATGGCAAAAATTAGAGAAAGAATCAATGCTTTGAAAGCTTTCAAGGTAAATGCAAATACATACCATCATGTTGTAGCTCAACAGATCACCAAGGTCTTGCTGAATGTGAAGATCTACGATTATATATCTACAAGCTTGTGTCATGTTCTACTTTCACTAAATAACTAATTGTAGTCTACTATGTTTTTGGACATTCAATACACCAGTAATATTGATATATATTGAATATTATCCAATAAGCAAACATCTGCCCAGATGGAGTGGATTCGAATGTTGGACATCTTTCCTAGGGTCTGTCCAAGTTTGACAAGCTTCCACTCTCGATAATAGCTCACTTGATACGAGCGGTTTGTTCCAAGTTCGATAAGCATGAATTCCTCGAGGGGTTCTTTACTTTGGACTCTTCTCTTTCTGTACCAAGACAGAAAAGGCATTATAATATTAAGTGAGATAATTTTCCAGGGGAAATACATGCATGTAACAAGCAGGCGAGGCACATAATGAAACTGTGCAAGAGATGTAGTTCATAAGATTCTAAGAATGAATGATGTGTGCTGACAAAGCAAGATGTTGACATTTACCATTCAGGAGTAGCAATCTGTTGTTGACATATGAATATCATTGAGCAAATTGATGGGTCAGTAATCAGGTGTTACTTTTCCCCTGTCCCGACAAGGGACAACTTGAGTTGGCAAAATCCACTTGGCACTTGCCCCCATCCCATCCTGGAAGCCGAACTCCCCATTTTTTGTATGTTTTTAGATAGATTTATCATTCTATTTCATAGAACCCTAATCTTTCCCCATGGCCCATCCCATTTTCCACCAAAGGAAATAGGGGTGCATCCATTTCAAGATCGAACGTACTGTGGGTTTCCTAATGGGCCCAATAGCTTGGACACAACACTTGGTTGGTCCTTTCCCTATGTTCTGGCTGAAAAGCCCTTCCACTCAAAATTGACAAATGAAGCTTCCTAAAGGGCTGAACCCGTAGATGGTTCAATTCCATCATGACTTGTTTTCTGGCATGCAAATTGTGGGTACAAAGTTCCTGCAACTGTATAAAGACCTAGCTTTTAGCTTAATCCCGGAGCAGAAACCTGGCATCATAAGTTTTAAGTTTCCTGGGCCTAAATCCTCTTACCAACAAACCCAACTCAGCCCCAGTCACTCACAGAGGACCAGATTTATCAGTATCAGAGCTAAACCCTTCGGCTCTCTGGCTGGCAGTTGAAAAACAAACCGACACTTCTCCCTGGCTTCCAACTCTTTCACTCTTTAACTGTTCAACTTCCCAATCTCCGGCAATGGGAGAAACTGGTACTTGTCTCGCTCTCTCTGTCTTCCTCTCTGAGATCCCAAGCAAATCTCAACTTAAAATTTAACTCTGGTTCTGTTTTATTTTTCTTTCCACAGATTCTTTCTTCTCTGATAAATCGGCGAAGATCTTCGTAGCAGGCCACAGAGGACTAGTGGGTTCAGCCATTGTCCGCAAGTTCCAATCTCTAGGCTTCACCAATCTCGTCCTCCGCACCCATGCTCAGCTCGACCTCACCCACCAATCCGACGTCGACTCCTTTTTCGCCACCGAAAAGCCCCAATACGTCATCTTAGCAGCCGCAAAAGTGGGTGGAATCCACGCCAACAACACGTATCCAGCAGATTTTATTGCCGTCAACCTCCAAATCCAAACCAACGTCATCGATTCCTCGTACCGCCACGGCGTCAAAAAAATCCTCTTCCTCGGATCCTCTTGCATCTATCCCAAATTTGCTCCTCAACCCATCCCGGAAAACGCGTTGTTATCCGCCCCCCTGGAGCCTACCAATGAATGGTATGCCGTCGCGAAGATTGCGGGGATTAAAATGTGCCAAGCGTACAGAATCCAATACGGCTTCGATGCTATTTCCGGTATGCCAACAAATTTGTACGGTCCCAACGACAATTTTCACCCCGAAAATTCCCACGTTTTGCCTGCGTTGATGCGAAGATTTCATAAGGCCAAGGTGGAAGGAGCAAAAGAAGTTGTTGTTTGGGGGACCGGGAGTCCGCTAAGGGAATTTTTACACGTTGATGATTTAGCTGATGCGGTTGTTTTCTTAATGGGAAATTATAGTGGATTAGAACATGTGAATGTAGGTAGTGGGAAGGAGGTAACCATTAAGGAATTAGCTGAGTTGGTTAAGGAAGTGGTTGGTTTTGAAGGGGAGCTCGTTTGGGACACTTCGAAGCCCGATGGGACTCCAAGGAAGCTCATGGATAGCTCAAAGCTCGCTTCATTGGGTTGGAATGCCAAGATTTCATTGAAAGATGGGCTTGTTGATACTTACAAGTGGTACTTGGAGAATGTCAAGCAATGATGCAGTTGCTTTTGGTGGTTATTTCCTTGATGAGTTTTTAAATCGGGCCATTCCTTTGTTGTTTTTTGTGCTTGAAATTGTCATTATTATTGTTATTTTCTGATATGCCATGGAATAATTTGAGGTTAATTCTGTACCAATATATTGCATCCAAGTTGAACATGAGGAATTCCTTTTTATTTAAGGAGTGAGGTAGTTGGATCAAACTTATATTCAAGGAATTGACTGGAATTTATTCATTTTGAAATGGATAAGTTATGTTTGATTATGGTTGTGGTTTAATATACTTATCTGTGTTAGAAGGGGGATCCACGAAAGAACTGTAAACTAGCGTTTCTGCTATTTTCTCAAGGGTGATGTAATTTCTTGTTTTTGCTGTGGCTGTATATATGTTACTGGGTTTACTTAAGAGCTATATCCTTTTAGTCTTTTAAATGTGAGGCTCATATAATGGTTGTAAGAGGCCAGGGTTGAGCCCTTCATGTGGCAGAATAGCATTAAGTTGGCATTTGTATGCTAAATGATGCTTGATAAAAAACTGGCGTTTGCTGCCCTCCACCCATGTTGAACAACCCCCACAAAATGGTATTTGATTCTTGCTATTAGATATACAGACATGAATGATAATTGTTCAGAGACTGGCGGGCTGCTTATCTTATGTACTTTTTGTTGGTTCAGATTTCATGATTGATGGATTCTTAAGGATTTTTCTGTATGCTTTATGTTATTAATGCCTTTTTATATCTTCAATGTGGAAGATAATTTTGCCGTTGCACTTAAACACATGTCTAGTTGGAAACAAACTGCAGATTGAGAGACTGACAAATGTGAGTTTTCTACATTGTTTCACCTCTACATATCCATGGCTGTGGTTTAGCTCTTATCCTGTTGGAATTCTGTCAAAGTAGCTTTAGTTGTTGGAGTGTGAGTTTCATTTGTTGAAGCACTGGAAGTTAAACACTATGTTATCATTAAATAATCTCCTGCTGCTGGATTCAACCAAAATTGATTCCAGGTTGTATTTTGATCAGCATGAATTTGATGCTTTAGCAGCCTTTGTTTCGGCCATCAGACCCTACCACAACAAGGGGGATAAGATTTTTGAGTTTGATATGCATTCTAAATATTCCAGTTTACCTCATAAGTATGTGCTAAATTTTGTTTGATCTGTACCATGTGAATATAAGGACTGTTTCACAGTTAAAGACCAAAGGCGTTCTTCTCCACCTTGCCCCTTCTACCTCCTGATTTGGAAATTGTATTGCGGTGGTAAATGGGTACTGGGAAGTAGGTTTCTTTTCAGTTACCTAGTTACCTTTAGTCATTGTGATATGAATGCCTGTAGTGCACCAGTGTAGTGAATCTCACTAATGCAATTGCTGGTTTTGTGTGACTATAGTCTGGTCATAAGATCTGCTTTTCCATTTTATGATTATTTTATTCAAATACTTTTACAAAAGTAATATTTTGGCTGCCTATGAATGATAAAGTTTGTCAACTGCGATAGATCTAGATTTGGTTTAGCAAAATCAGGGCTAGGGAACACAAAAGCAGCGTACCTGTTTGAAATGTCTTAGGCCCTTTTTGTCTTCTTATGTTTGAATGCAGGTTCTGCTCTGGGAGTGTGCATCGTTGATGGATGAGTATTTTCTCCAATATTATTATGGCACAAGTTAACTTGAAAAATTGAGTTTAGCTTAGAATGATTATTGCAGAGTTTTACATTTTCAGTTGCAATTCATTTATTATTCTTTGTGCATGTCGCTTTTATCTCTTCATGATTAATCTTAATCCCACACTTACAATTGGTGCTTGTATTCTGGTTTTTTTTCGCTGCTATTTTTGTGCATACTTGCAGCCATTGTGCTACGTAATTGAACCAACTTGTTTGATTGCCTGACGCTAGACATGTTCCTTAGTTGTATGTATGCATGTATTAGTTTACCTGGTTGACATCGGAGAAAACATAGTATTTTGTGTGACGAGGTTTTGCTTCCTGTACATCCAAAGTGCTTCTGGTCTCAGAAAGTGCAGAGGGAATGTTCCTAACTAGCTGGTAAAATACCAAAATACTGTAAATTTGGCTCATTGGAGCCATTTCACTTGTTGAAGCTCAACCTTGGGTTTTTGTTTATCTATTTGCGTACTCTTTCCTTCAGAATCTGTTTGTGTGTTTCATTTTTGGAGATTCGTCCTATTAATGGTGGCAGATGTATATATTTTGAGCTACATCATTCATATAGATCTCTCCTTTGCTATTTGGTCTCGACTTTCACGATCAAAGACAGGACAGGAGGGACAAGTTCTACTACCTGGTTATTACCATATTCAGGAAACATGGCATTTATTCAATTCTTGTCGTGATGAGATGCACTCAAGGACAGCTTCATTTGTGGGTACTGGTTATCCACAGACCTTTCTTAAATCTGTTTGTAAAAAGAGAGTTCCGATGTGAAAGGATACGAGAATAGATCAATTTGCTAATTTCCCGGACCTAAAGGACAAAAGCTGGAAAGGGGGTGAGCTGCATTTTCACCCAAGGCTAATGTCGGTGTATTTTGTTAGTTAAAAGAAAAAAGAAATCGATATTCGTGGTGATATTTGATGGAAACCCAAAAAGCAAGACAACGTGCCCAAAGTCCAGCTACTCATAAATGTAATAGTTTAATCTAACCGAGCTCAGTAGTAGCAGCAGCTCCTTGGCATTTATAAGCAGAATTTTGGGGGTGCTTTGCTTAGGGGTAAGTTGAATGGACTTGGGCAGCCAGCTCAAGTATTGAGAGAACTTAATTGGTCATCAACAAGAAAATTAACGTACTGGCCTTGAATTTAGAAATGAAAAGAATGCAAGGCATGCCTCGGCAGAGTCGTTTTGTCGAGAAATCTCTGATTGGATAATAATAGGTAAGGAAGCGGTCCTCAATTTATAAATACACATTTTATCAAATTAATTCAAATTCAAGTTTAATGTCATGTGAAGCACTTCAATGTGTAAAATAAGCACAGTGACTTGATCTGTGACGAGAATGTGATGAGTTTAAATAAAAAAAAAATTTACAAAATCTCACATCAAATAAATAACTAAGAAATCTGTAAATTTCAGTGTCAATGCCTCAAATTTACTGAATGATCCAATAAAGATGGAAGCAGAGGGGTCACTATAATTCAGGGCCCTCATCTAGATTTTCAGGTATGGAAGAAACCGTTGGGAGTCGTTTTGTGCAAAATGAAATGCATGCAGGCTATTGAATGAAAGATTTGGGAGAAGAAACAGGAACTGAGTTCTACCCAGTTAAAAGGGACAAAAATCTTAAACGCTTGGGGGCCCCTCAACATTAATTTCACTGATCTGTTAAATGTTTGATTACATCAGTTTCATGCAGTAACTTTAGATTTCCGTTATTAGGGGGCGGATTTGGTTGGAGCCAATGCTTGTATGCACAGCATTTGAGCTGTGGTGGGAAAGATGACCAGATCAAGGAAAAGGGGTAGAAAAAAACATTGAGATAAAAAACACACACTAGCAGAAGAGACTGTTTAGGCTAGCAAACAAAACAGAGGCAGAAGCACTCAAAATCTGAGATTGCAGAGTTGCACTTATATTATAATTTGAAAATTGACATTCTACCTACAGGATGTGCTCAGTACTGATTTTCAAACTGGTTCCATGACATGCAGAAATGAGAAATCTACAGAAAAAATAGGGTCATAGACCACTGTGTGAATATAGCTATTTCCTTGGTAAAATCTGTCTGTTGCTACTACCATAAGACAAGATCATAAATTTGCTGACATGTGCCACCCCCTGTTCTGATTTGGACAGGCACCCAGACTCGAGCTGAGTCCATATTTTCATGGTTCCAAGACGATTGCAAGACTAAAAGATGATGGTCTTGTTTTATTTGACTGTTTAACTCCACCAAGTTGCTTGCTTTTCCGATCCCATATACTTTCATCAAGCTATCTACGATGCAACTTGAGTAGATCTCCCTTTCATATTCTCCAATTGAAAAACACATTTCCCCAAACCTATAGGTCAAACTTTTGGAGTTCCAATCCCCACACCAAATTTGGCAATAAAGACGGGGATTGTTTGAGCCATTGTTTTTCCCCTTTAGAAATCCACTTTCCAGGCAATTACCATCACTCCAAAGGCCCCACCAAACCATATCAAACGTTCAGAAATATAATCACCTTCTGAATTTCTTTTTCCTTCTGATAAACACAAACACAGCCCAGTTTCACGTGCATACCAAAAACCAAAAAGGAAGCAAAACCAAATTTGCAGTGCACGATGATAGGACACTTCCATGAACTACAAGCCCACCGTCGTCACTCACACCTCAACTTTCTTGTCTTTGCCTTTGTTTTTCTTGCCCAGGCAGAGGCAGTAACCCTTTCCCTCTTCCCCTTTGTCCTAAACACTAATTTTAAATAAAATCCACTTAGACTCTGTAGTCTATAACCCACGGTGCCCAACTCTAGGTGCTCTAGACCTGCAGTTCCAGTGCTTGCAATTGTCACCTCACCTTACCCACCCAAAACCCAAAAAAGGTAAATCCCAAAAAAACCCCATGAATGAATGGAAATAAAAATGAGCATCGGAATAGAAGCGTGAGGACTGAGGAGACCACAAATTTATCATAGAAACGGAACATCAGAAAATGGGCGTGACATATTATAATTAACAAATATCATTACTATTAATAAAGCTCACACATTTCCCCAGAAGATGTACAATAAATTACAGGGACAGAGGCTGAGTACAATAAAACAGTGTAGAGACCTCAAATATTAACTTTACTCACCAACCCTGCACAGAATTAGCTCCTGCCTATTTACTGCACTATTTTCTAACCTCCTGATTACTGCTAGTTTCTTGTTTTGAAGTTTCTTTTTTTTTTGCTTTGTATGAAAATGGTTTTTTTTTTCATGAAGCAAGCAAAAGGCATAAACCTAAAAGCCAAAAGAGGAAGTTAGTATAACTAAAATAAAATAAAATAAAAGAGGAAAAAATCAGCAAAGAGACCAACATACCCGTTGCATTTACCAACATTATGGACCAACAAATAAGCAGCAAAAAAGAGAAGAACAAATTTTAGTATATCATAAATGAACAATAAAGAGATTGAGCCGTCCAGCCAATATCACCACCGCCACCGTCACCGCCACCACCTTCCCCTCTCATCACCAGAAGCTGAAGAAGAAGATTAAGAAGAGAGCCTGTTGCAAAGATTGGAGTTTGAAGAAAATGAAGTTTCTTCTATAATTACCCCATGCTTTATATGAGCCTCCAAAACCCATTCGCTTCACATAAATTCTCATGGAAGAGCCCAATCTTCCTCCAATTCTCTTTGTAGACGGATTCACAACAGTCACCATTCTTGAAGCAAAGTCCTCCCTTTGCTTCCGCTTTTGCCCCCACCACAACCCTATCATCATTATAACAAAACACAAAGAATGAGAAAAAAAAAGTGAGCTTTTTCAAACACTATTCCCAAAAAATAACAAAAGGAAAGCAGACAAGAACCTTGTTGGAGAGTGCAAAAATGGTCAAAAAAAAATCAAAAGGAACATGAATGAAAGCAAAGAGAGAAACATAAAATCAGAACCAAGGGTTTGGTGCCTGTACGTTTTTATTTATTTCTCTTCTACTTTCTTCGTTTTTTTTCCTTTGATGATGGGGTTTTCTTGTCCTTTGCTAGAAAGAAAAGATTCAAATATTCAAAGAGTGAAGAAAAAGAAAGACAGCGTTTGAGTGAGGAAGAAGAGTAAGTAGCAGCAGAAGACATAAGGTGTTTGGCTTGCAACATGTATCTACTGGCTATATTGAGAACCGTGTCTGCCTAAACATAATGAGGCCAAGAAGCAAATGTGGGAATGGCGATGTTGGTTCGCTTAGGGGGGGTTGGGTGGGGATGGCTTTGGGTTTGGGGTTTTGCCTGAACCACAGCATCAACCCCAACTTTCACTTTAGTTGGCCCGGAAGCCCCAGATTAGCTAGATTTGCGCAAGCAACCGGTGTCCTCTTCTTGTTTCCTTGCCTACCCTTCAGCATTTCCCAGAATCCCTTCACTACCCCTTTTCTTTTCCCCCATGTTTGGGATCCACATAAACATAAAAATGATACCACTGTATCTCTTCTCTTTCCTCTTTATTTTTCTACTATAACGTTCAAAATCATGTGCAAGTATTTTTTTTCATGATTCTGACTCTCCTGACCAAACCAGCAGCAATGCCGAGGCCAGATTTATCGAGACGACCACCAACAAAACCCTACGCCCCACAGTCGTTCTCGGCCTAACATTCGTTTTTATGGATTTCTAGGGGGTCTAATCTAACTGGCTAAGCACCTAAGACACAACTACAAGCACCTACATCGACCCTCTTTGTTCAATGTGGATGGGTTGCTTGGGGTTTTGGGTCCCCCCTTGGCCTTTGGTCAAACAATTGCTACATCTATTGTTTTTTTGGTGGGGACACCGCTATTTTGAGCGTGGGACCTATCAGGAAGAACAGGGTTGTTCGGTCATTTGGCGCTACGGAGGTAAAAGTACCCCGGATTTCACGTATCCATGTTAACAGAAAGTGTCATGTGATGTGAATTCCCCTTTCCCTTTTGTGTCTCTGCCGCTTTTGTTGGTTTGGTTGCTTGCATGGATTATCTAAATGCGCCTTGCTTGCTTCACATTACCATCTTTAACACCAACCCTCTTTAAAACATGCCCCCAACTGCTGAGTCCAGTGACTTTGAACCAGGTTCAATTTGGAGGGATCAACTGAGGTTGTGTCGGGGTATGGATTGGAATGAATCAGGATTATAAGCAACGTGTACGGTGATGCATGTAGGCATATTATTAGCAATTTATAATAGAGGTAGTACAACATGAGCTTGTGTTTTTCTTTTTCTTTTTTTTTTTTAATAAAGTGATATGGTACCAAGTGCCAACAACAAACCAGCTCGAGACTCTCATCATAGAGAACAGCAAGAGACAGAATGTCTGAGGCAAAGTCAGATATCAGAGAAAGAGAAATGGTTTTTTTTTTTTTTAATTTTTTGCGGGGAAAAATTAGAGAGGGAAATGGGGAGGGAGAGAGGTACCTGAAGATAAAGTAAGGCAGCTCTTAACCCAAGACAAGTATGAATCAGGAATTTCTGATCAAACGGTCTTGATTAAAGCTCGCTCTTTGATCTGCAAAAGAAAACCCGAGAACAAAGAAACCATCCTGAGAAAACAAGAGCAATGGGAAAACGACTGGTAAGTGGGGATATGGCGTTGTTTCACGCAGGAATGGTGGTTCTGGTCATGAGGAAGCTTTTTGAAGCTTTTTAACCATAAAGATTAAGGCGAAGAAGCAAAGAAGAAAGGGGATTAGAAACGTCACAAGTTTTTATATCAAATGAATACAAAAAGGCCGGGGGTGTAAAGATATCAATCGTTTTCGAACAAGATCTTCTACAACATCAGGAGACTGCTTTTGGTGAGTATGACTGAAACCATGACAGATACAAATATAGTTTACACAAGAACAAATATGCATTGTTTTATCCGATTAAAAGCCTCTTTGCTCGAGAGAGAAAGAGAGGGTGAAAGGATAACTTGGGCAAGTAAAATTCATCCGTACCTTACAAGTTTCCAGGATAAAGCAAGAAACTTATCCATCAGGAGCCCAATTTCCTATAGAATAGCATACAAATTTTTGCAGCGTAAGATGTAAATAATGAGAGAGAGAGAGAGTAAATGTTAAGGAACTTAGCTACTATAACCCATAAAGTTCCACGAGTCAAGGGAGACTGCGGGGATAGAATTGAAAAATGATAGACAAGAGAGTATTCTAATCTTATTCTATGGAAAAAGCAAAAGGTTTCATCTTTACAGTCGCAATCCAATTACGGAAAACTTCATGAAAAGCTTTTTTTTTTTATTATATACATCAGCACACTCTCTCTTTCTCTTTGTCTCTCTGGGGGAGAGGATAATAAAATCATAAAGAAGGTAAGGTTGATAGCCTTTTAATGACAAAGCGGATTGTGCCACTGTCAACTTTATCCCTCCCCTATTTATGACAGAAATTCAAAACCTTGATTGAATACAAACCAATGCACCCTTCCCTTTGCTTAAACTACCAACCATGCCATCACCGTACCAAGTTGAACTCTAGTACCTCAGACACGATCAGACAACATTGCAGTTTCCCTCCGGGAAGTTAATGTTTGAAGCCCATTTTTGGGGACGCTGGACTTCAAACTTTTGTTTGATTCTGGGCCCAGAGTTGCTCTACTGCAACATCTATGACGCTTCTTTGATAAGCAAAAGTGCTGACAAAAAAGTTTTATGTTTTATTTTGGGTAATTTAAAGGGTCCAAGTTTGAAATCAGTTTTTTTTTAAAAAAAAATTCGAATAGTGTTTTTTATATAGAAAAATCATACATCAAATCAAATAATGAGGTAAATGTTTAAGTACTTTCAAGTCTAAAATCAATTGATATCTTTGCTTAACATTTTTGATCCATTGATTTCTTATTCTTTTATGCATCTTATCTACTCAAAGAAGTACAATCAAATTCCCCTGCTCATTAGTAGGGTGTTGAATTTTGATAGATTTCTGTGAAGAAACTAAGCAGAGACTGTCCATGGTAGGGTTCAAACATAATTTTATAGGAAACCAAAGGCAAACTGATTTGTGGCCAACTTAAATCTTAGAAGAGCTAATATAGGAAGTTATTGATAATTATTACTATGATGATAATCAGACTTATTAGAAAGGAACGAAAGGGAGACATAATTAAAAAGGAGCAAGGAAAAGAGAAGCAATGTTGGGTGTGTAAATGGGACCAAAATGCCAATTCTGAGACAATGTTTAGAAATAAACTAGTTTATATTCTATTTTTTATTGGGCGGCTCCGACTGGCATAGTTATCAGATTAAAGTGTAAAATATTTGAAGAAAGAAGAAGAAGAAGAAGAAGGTAGCCGTATATCTCTGACAACTTGAGAGCAAAAGCAAATAAAGGCCCCGAAAAGAAGATGATTTTGTGATGATGAGACCACGTCGTATGCCAAAAATGAGGGCCTTTTGATTTTCTCCACTTTTTTTCTTCAACCTTTTTCTTGTTATCGTGTCCACGTTATATTTGACCACGTTGAGCCTCGAAAAGAAGCCTACCTCAGCTATCTCTGCCAGATGCTACCCTGTCCTTGCAGTGTTGAGCACATGCACATTCCATTTACAAGTACTTTATCGTCAGTTTTTGTACCAACAAGCAATGCATATATATATATATATATATATATGATAGGATTTAAAAGCTTATGCTTTAGATTAAAGCTAATTTCATTACAGCGCTGGCCCATTTATCCTTTTACTATTCCTCAGTGCGCCTGGGTTCATTGGCTGATATGAGATCCGTTGATTGAGCAATTCTGAACCCCCCAGAAGAAATGGAACTGAGATCTTTGGAGTTTTCTGTAAATGTATGGAGAATCGCTCTTCATGATATCATCACAATTGTCCAGTTACTGAAGTCCAAGTTTCGCAATGAGATGAGTACGTTTGCTGAACGATAATGATATCCTCCAGAGCATTGATTGGCAAAATTCATGCCTGCCCCGCAGTGCAGAAAGGAAAGTTTGGAAAAGGAGAGAAGCTTTGATGCACCTGTTGTAACATGATCCTGATCCAATCTGAAAGCAAAATCAAAGCTCAAAATTCCTTCTAGAATCTAAATGGTGAAGGAACAATATTCTGTTGGTTGACAAGATGTATAGCCTCCAGCCAACTGGATGAAGTTGTGGCTTATATTCTGCAAACACTGATTCAACATTGATCTTCCACATGCATTAATTCCCACTTGCCTACTCTTCTTAAAATGCTTCAATGGCTTCTTTTCTTCTATCTACAGGATTCTACACCAAAAAATGTATCCTAATACAGTTGAGAGAATAATTTTTGATAGTGTCCATGATTTAACTCATTGCCATGGTGCAAATATTCTGAAAGTTTCATGGGATTGTGATTGCAGTCCAAGTCTTGATCACTTCCTTACCCTCGCTCGGCCATTCTGGTATCTATCTTTTTTGGTTCATGTTCCTAACTGATAAAAGAGGCATTTCGGAATCAAGGTGCATATGATCTTCAAATCCACACTATTCTTCCTAAAACTTGTTTTCAACTGAACTAGGAATAAAGGTCTTTGGCTTTAAGTAGTTTATATGCATATATTCCTCGAAAACTAAACCAAATTCATTCTTGAGTATTGTCTAAGAATAACTATGACGACTTAAGTTCAAGTATAACTTTTTAGACTTACACCACGCGCTCTTCAATCAAAAATTTAAGTTCAAGTTGTTAGTAGTAATTGACTTAAACTCTTATATAAACCTTAAAAATCACTTTTATATTCGATATGAGATAGAGTATCATAATTATCATCAAAGTTTTAAGAAAAATAATTTTTTATTTAACATTGGCGCCATTTTTGCAACTTGAATAAAAAGCAAGAATAGAATTTAGATATTGGAGTTCATATATAAGCCCCATGCATTGGCTGTTTAGATTCGAACAACCAAAGCCTGCTAAATACTCTTCTGTCAGCAGTGAAGCAAATTGCCTAACTATAGTATCAACTTCATATGGAAGCAAAGATTGTAATAGATACCATATATTTTGGAATCTTGAATCTAATTTTCGTGAAGAATCAGAACCCAATACTTAGAAATACATATGTTGAGGTACGATTACACTAACTTTTTTTATACCATTCTTTATTACAGCCACAAGCAAAAGCTGCTGCCAGCAGCTTGGAATTTCCATTGTATCTGCCTCAAATCAAGGGATCATACATTATGGGCATTCAGGAAGATTAATTCATATATTCCTTGCCAAATTTGTTTCAGGACCATCATATTTGCAGTGCAAAAAAGGACATCTTTTTAACTTGCAGAGAATATAGAGCTTACGTTTGAGAGATGATAGCTTCCACTATACCATTTGCTTGGGGTGAGAGAGACTAGCATTCCTTTTCTTAACCATAATTTCTTGTAAGTATATCTAAGCTTGACGTGTCACGTTGCCTGCTTTGATGATGAGATCGTATCATCCATGTGTATTGCTGCATCGAATTTTCAAGTTCAGACAATGTCTGACTCATGAAACAGCCTTTCGAACAACTTGTAGAATAATCTCCCCAACTTGAGTGAACAAGTAAGAAGCCCTAGAAGGTGGGGAAAGCTTGGGCCACTTCCCCAAAGAAAGGGGGTACAATCCACCCCGGTTAACGGACTATTATTGCATGTACTTACTGACCAATATAAAGAGTGGATCTCTTTCAATATTTGAATGAA